TATCCTCTGCCTCCCCAAGTATGAAGCTTACGATAAGTCTTTGTCCCAAGCAATAGCTGGAAGTTATATTTTCTGCCTTCTCTCATTCAATGGTTTTTGAGCAGGGCCTGGCCCTGATCCCCTACCTCACATGTGGATTGTGCTGAGTTCTGGGTATCCCACGGGAGCTGAACTCCAGGTTGCCTCTGCCTGCTTCTGAGAGCTGGGACAGCATACACAGCTTCAGTCCCATCTCCACTCTGCATTTATTTTCTACTTCTGATTCTAGGCCATGACTGAAAGTATAAGCCTTGCTTACTTATGCCTGTCTCATTTCTTAGGGAAAAAGCTTTCAACCAAATATTGGTGATAAAAAAGATAGCTCCTTTGGTATTTGTTGTTCAAAATGCTATTTCTCTCAGGATTTTTTCCTAGAAATATATGAATTTTAGAAGTGGTGTTATATGCATCAATGATGTGATAATTATGGGAATTTGTAGCTCTTTTGGGGATTCTTCACATTTCTAAAGTTATCCCATGTAGCAGACAAAACATATCTATGATTCCTTACCCTTACTTCCTCTTTCTATTTTATAAAATATCCTGTATAGAGTTCACATATATTTATAGACTCAAGTAGAATGTATTACTGATCCCTTCCATACAGGCCATGGCCCTGGATTTCCCTCATTTCTTATTTATGTTCACTGATATGGCCTTGAGGCACTCTCCCTACTTCTTAATGTTCTCTTTCTTTCTATGCTGCCCCCAGTCTCTTTAATTCTGCTGCTTGTCCGGTTTCCAAGAAAACTCTTTCTCACTCAGTTTTAGACATCACCTGGACTTTCAAATCTCTAACATGGAAAGAGACCCAAGAGGAAGTGACAGATAGGGAAATGAGTGCTTACTGTGGGCGAGGCTTGAGTGCTCTGCTAAATGTTTTCATATACTCATTCATTTGGTCTTGCAGCAGCACTACGAAGTTGACGACGATTATTATTCATATCTTATAGATAAGAGAGCTCGAGCCTAAGCTCTCCTAATTTGTCTGGGACTGAGGTGTCTGCAGGGACTCAGGAATTTCAGTTTTAAAACCAGTAAAGTGCCAGGCAAACTAGGACAAATTGGTCCTATGAGGCCTCAGATCAATGACTAGGAAGTAGAGAAGCCTGGGCTGGAACCTAGGCCCACTTTGCACTAGGATCTTTGCTTTTCATCATGATATAGATTAGATATAGATATAGATATAGAGATAGAGATAGAGATAGAGATAGAGATAGAGATAGAGATAGATATAGATGATATATAGATATATGTAAATATGTTTTGATTTCAGAGATGAAGGGGGAGAGAGACAGAAACATTAATGATGAGAGAGAATCCTTGACTGGCTGCCTCCTGCACGTCCCCCACTGGGCATGTGCCCTGACCTGGAATCAGAACGTGACTTCCTGGTTCATAGGTCGATGCTCAGCCACTGAGCCACATCGGCTGGGCCAGCATGATGTCATACTGTCACTAATTCAACAAAGTAGAAAAAAGAAACGAACTGATTCAAAGAGGAGGTAGAAGGTAAAGACATGAAATAATTCATTCAAGTGAAACGCTGTTTCCTGGAAGGCATTTTGTCAGGGGAAATGTGCTTTATATAACGAGAGTCAAAAGACCTAAATCTGGTCCTGGTTTATCCACAAACTCAGTGTTAAGTTGAAGAAATCGTCTTCCATGATGCTTTTCTTCACCTGTAAAATGAGGGGCTAATGAGAACACAACTTCTGAGATAATTTCCAATTTTAAGTTAAAAAATTGTGTTACTTGAACTTGTTCCTTAAATATAAATTCCCTAATACAATTTCATAGCTGATAAATATTAGCTAGTTTTTAAAAGGGCATCGAGAAAAAAGAAATCTGATAATAGATGCTAGGATTTATAGTATTTCATGATTTAGCTCAAATTTCTAGATCTAGCTCTTTAACAGTAGTTAGTATTTCTGGGCTCAGCAAAATTCCATTGCAACAGCTTAACAGTTTTGGCCTTTAATTTATTTTTATTACATTTGTGGTAATTAACTTTATGGTATTTTCATTGTTGTCTTTAATTGTTTATAGAATGTCCCAAACATCTTAGTAGGAACTGATTTATAAATCAAGTTTTCACTCTTTATTGTTAATTTATAAAATGTTAATAGCCTCTATTTAAGGCATGTGTGATTAATAACTAAGGCAATGTACTTTTATAGTAGCACTGTTTTATTCTGTGAAAATTAGAAGTAAAACAGACTCACAACATGCCCTAATTATCATTTTAGATATAAATATGGGTATTGGAATGGGAATCTTCATAGATATTTTGAAAGCATTTCTGATTTAATAAGGCACTATGGCCTTTAAAAATTTCTGGACACATGTTCGAACCAAAATTTCCCCCTGATAAGACATAGCTTTTTATATTTTTAACATTTTATTCAAGGAAAACCTCACTCTGCCTATGACCTCCACTACTACCCCTTTCTATAAACATCTTAAGGTTGAATTAAAAAACTGGAGGGGAATTTGAGGTGAGAAAAATGTGAAATAAAAATGGGTATAAAGAGAAAATGTGACTTTTCTGAAATTAGTTTCTGTGTGTGACTGTGTGTGTGTGTGTGTGTGTGTGTGTGTGTGTGTGTGTGTGTGTTTGTGTGAGTGTACGTGTAATTACCACTCATTTTGGGCCAAAGTAATTAGCTCCTTTTCTCATTTGGATAATTACAATCTTCCTATCAAGATAACTAGGTGCATAAAATTAAACAAGCCAAGTTCATTAGCCACACTGCAAAAATCATGACATGTTACATGGAAGATTTAGTAGTAGTGAGATTTCTAAAAAAATAGGAGGAACTCTGTGAAAACTAAGCATATTGTAACAATTCAGGACTTACAGGAATTCTAGCCCACTGCTTGTTATAGGGCACTAATTGCTCGGCTAGCCATGTGCTCAGTCTTACGGAAGACATAAAATAAATTTAAAAGACTAGTTCCTTCACTAGAGATATTGTTAGATTTTGTTAAATTTAGCAAAGCCCTATTCTTTACTGGTATATTTCTTTTGAGAAAGAGAGAGAAGAGCAGAAATACAACTATCTATAATGATGAGGGTAGTATTTTCAGTTTTAATAGATTACTTGGAAAAACTAATAATCAAAAATTAAACTTTATTATTAAATATAAATAAATGTGCAACATATACTGAGAAGATTGCACAATTTCTTAGTGTATAGATATGAATATTCACAAAGTGGACATGCCTGTATAATCATTACCCAATAAAGAAACAGAACATTGCCAGAATCCTAAGAGCCTTTCCTGTGTCCCTCTCAGACGCTACAGCCTTACCCTCAAGGTCACCATTACCCTGCTTTCTATGCCATTAAGTTTTCTCTGTTTTTGAACTTTATATTAACAAAAGCATACAGTATGTCCTCTTTATGCTGGTTTCTTTCTCTTATGATTAGATGGGTGTCTAATCATTTATGTCTTTTTTTTTTAATAGCAATTCATTCTCACTGGTGTGAAACATCCCATTGTATGAGTAAACTATAATTTATTGACCCATTGGGTTACTTCTAGTTTTTGGCTGTTACAAAATAATGCTGCTATGCTCATTCTTGCATGTGTCTTTCAGCACACATTATAAAGCATTTCTGTTGGGTGTGGGAGGGCTGAATCATAGGTCTAGATTTAGCCTTTCAAGATATTGCCAAATAGTTTTCCAAAGATTAGCAATATACACTCCAACAGGCAGTGAATGAATATTTCAGGAGCTGCATATTTTTGTTAACACTTTGTTTTTGTTAAAGATATTTGTTTGGATGTATGGTCGTTGTAGTTGTATTTTATTTCCTTGATGACCAATGAGATTTGAGCATCCTTTCACATGTTGATTTTCCATTTGGAAATCCCTTTTGTGAAATGCCTATTGAAATCATTTGCCAACTTTTATATACAATTGTCTTTTTCATCGATTTGTAAAAGTATGGTCTTGTTATGTTACTCCACTTAACCACTATGGAATGATAGTCTTACCACCCATCTCCAGCCCATCACTACTTGTTGGGAAGCTTTGATTGTCAGGGCCCTTCAGTGTACATGTTTGTGAGTTGCCAAATCCTAATTAAAATATCTCTATATCAAAACACTAAAATCACATAAAAACTCCATAGGTCATTGAACGTGGCTAAGAAGAGTAATTTTTTTTTAAAATATATTTTATTTTTTTTACAGAGAGGAAGGAAGAGGGATAGAGAGTTAGAAACATCGATCAGCTGCCTCCTGCACACTCCCCACTGGGTATGTGCCCGCAACCAAGGTACATGCCCTTGACCGGAATCGAACCTGAGACCCTTGAGTCTGCAGGCCGACACTCTATCCAGTGAGCCAAACCGGTCAGGGCAAAGAAGAGTAATTTTTCTCTTATATCGAGGCAAAGGTGAAAACTCAGTATATGTTAGCCAAAAAGAGTATTTGCAGAAATTTTATTTTTTTTTGAAGGAATTTTAAAGCATAAGTAATGTGTGTCTTCTCAGTTTAACATCTCCCTTTTAATGACCAGAGAACTGAAATGAAATTAATAGCTTTCTTTTGTGATTTAAACATTTAAATATTTTATTTAACACCGGGAATATTTGGGATCTCTTAGTATCAGTGTCCATGCAAGCCCACAAGGAAACAGAATATAATATTTTATGAAACAGTTGAACCTTACATCCAGAAGGCACCTGTGAGATCATGCACTGGTCTTCTCTGAGCCTGGAGAGTTGGCACTGGGGTGAATGGGAATGATAAGATGGTTGGGGAAAGGCTCTGAGACTAATCACAACACCCAGGCTTTCATCTGTTGTCCTCATTGACTTCTGAGAAAGAGTTCCTTTAAACATAGACTGAAGCTGCTCTTTGTGTGTCTATTTAAACCCTTCATGTATAGAAGAAGAGCTGGGATTCAGCAAGATTAACTGGTTTGGCCCAGATCACACACTTTGGCAATGGCAGACTCAGGACTGAAATCCAAGTTCTTCACGGTGCTCGTAGGCCCTGGTGTTTGTGTCAGCTGGAGGAATATCCTCATGATTCAATTTTGTTCTTTCCTTCCCACTTCCTGGCTCTGAGAAATATATGAGCCTGAGTTAGACAATCAGAGGGAGGTTCCTGCATCAGGAAAGAGATATCACTCTACCTGCTTGCCACTGCTGTACATGGCTCAGAGGATCTCCGCTCACCTGATATGAACCCTTTGCGGTCGTTTGTCTACTCTCAGCCACCAAAGCTTTTTTACCGTTCCGGTTGTATGTCTGCTCTCAGCCACCACAGCAAGGAACCGTACGAATCTTAACTCTATTCATTCATGTATCAGTTCATAATTTCTCTGAAAGCTCTTAAGTGTCTAAGCGACCTTGTCACGAACCAAAACATTGCCCCGACAAATCGAAGGTATCGAAACTCAATATAAACAAACGCAGTCGTTCCACACTCGCCATGCAAAACACCGTGGCGAGTCAGTCGCCTTTTGAGAGTGAAGAAATCGACAAGCTTGGGAGATACTTTGCAGAATTTCAAATAAAGCTTTACAAATTATGTTTAACTGTAATTAGGCATTCTCACTTGTTAAGATATTTCAAAATAATACTCCAAAATGGCAAAAAGAAAGTTACCAAAAGAAGTGAACTGCGAATCTGAAAGTTTATGGTGAAGAGTTTTATTTTGGCACCTTGAATACTGACTCTGACGTAGAAAGTGATAACGTTTGTAGTGATTCTACTAGTAGTGACGTAGTTCCAAAAAAGAATTAATAAATCTTGTTTATCCTTCATAATCTTGCATGTTATGTATCACTGCTCTTTCAATGGAAATTAATTCCGACCAGTAGGACACCCATGTCCAAATTTAATATGCCCGCAAAGGGTTAATGGTTATGAATTCATAGAGTATCTTCTTTCCAACTCATTTGATGGCCCTCTGACTAATTTGATTCATAGCTTTATGTGCAATTATAAATGTTTTATTCAATCATCTTCTATACCTTTTTATACCCACTATTCGATGCCCAATATTGGACCTGTTATATTGGACCTAGTTAGAACTTGTTCTGTTTTGTTTTCTTTACTTGCTCTCCCTTGTATTTTCTCATCCCTATTGTTTGGCGCCAGCTCATCTTATCTAGTCAGAGGGACAAGGAAACTTGGCAGAGGAAGTCAATCAGGAAGCAAATCTGGAAAATGACCTAAGGGTCCTCCTTGAGTTGGAAGAAAAAAAGTGAAGAGCTTACACTTTTCAAAGAATGGAAACAGTAATAAGGACAAAACCTAACAGGGAGACCCTGGGGGCCAAGGGTTGAGGAGAGCATAGAAGTGATGGTAACTAGGTTCGTGACTAGAAAAGACCAGACCTAGGCCAGTTTCCCTTTTATTCTGCTCCTGAGTTCCAGAGAACAGACTAAGTTGAAGAGGGATAGGAGAGAGGCAAGAACTTTTAATCATGCAGTTGATTTTTGAGATTAAGGTCCAGGTAGCATCTCATCTGAAAACAATAAAATAATAGAGTTTTAGAAACTGAAGGGTCTTTAAGGCAGTGGTTCTCAACCTTGGTTGCACATTAGAATCACCTGGAAATCTTTTTAAAATCCTGATTCCTGGGCCTCACCCTCCGGAAATTCTGTTTCTTTGTTATGGGGGTGGGGCCACAACGTTAGTAACAAAGAAACAGAAATTCCCGAGGATGAGGCCCAGAAATCAGGATTTTAAAAAAGATTCCCAGGTGATTCTAATGTGAGGACAAGGTTGAGAAGCACTGCTTTAAGGTCTTCTTGCCAACTATTTTATTTTGAAAATGAAGAAACTAGGGTGAGGAGAAATCAAGGAAAACCCCTTGGCTCAGTTCCGAATGGAGATGTGGGATGCCAGTCCTATATTTCCCATTCATATTTACTCAGTTGCATGAGATTGAAGAGCCCAGGACAAGAAGCTAGGTTTTATTCTAAATGCAGTTGAAAGTCATGGAAGGGAAATGATGTGATCTGATACTCTTTAAAAAAGATGCCTCCTTCTGCTATGTGAAGAATAAATTGGAAAAGGATCAGGGTGTAAATCAAGAGAGTAATTAGGAGACTATTTTAGCATTCTAGGAATAAAATGGTTGTGGCCAGAAGAGGGAAGATGAGAAGAAGAAGATGTATTTTGAAGTTAAAATGTAGAAGACTTGTTGGATTGGATGTGGTAGGTAAAGTACAGGAAAAATCAAAGCTGTGTTTGAGCAACTTGGTGGATATAGGTCCAGTGTTAATATGGAGAAATGGGGACGGGGCGAATCTATGACTTGCAGGTGGATTCAGGCGAAGGGATAGTTGGTAGAAAATTTTGGCTAGAAAATGAAGATTTGTTCTCATTCACCCTTATATGAACTGCTGAAACTGTTTGTCTAGATTCCTGGACCATGACTCATTTCCCCAAGTCCTACTTAATGCCATAGGGCAGTTCTTTGTTACCAGGATACTTAATTATATAGGATACCATGATAAAGTCTTACCAGTAATCTGCTTTAGGAAGGACAAGCTAAGGCAGTAAGGGAGGGAAATACTGTTTCCACTTTTTGACTTTTACCCATATAGAAATGGAATTAGAAATCCTTAGCTTTCCTGTAACTCAATTTAGGAGTGCCTTAAGTTGTGTCTACTGGATGAGAAAGGGTGAAAGGACTTTTACACAATCGTGTGTCCATGGAGACATGGAAGGTAGGGCTTCCCTATCCAGCATGTTGTTGCCATAGTTACTTATTCCACAAACCTTTTTTTGGGGAAATTATTCTACATGCCAAGCCCTGTTCAAGGCACTGCGACTACAGCAGGGAAGAAAACAATGTCCTTGCCTTTATGGAGTTATATCCCAGAACACTGGTTATGTCAGCATCTTGTTCAAAAAATGTCAATGGTTTGTTGCCCATTTCAGCATAAAATCCAATCCTATGCTTAAATCAAACAGAGCCACTGCTTGCTGTTCCCAAACTGTGTGCATCCTTACTTCCTTGTGTTTGCCTGAACTATTTCTCTCACTTGCCTGCTTCTCCATTCCTTTGAAGTTAGCCAATCTGACCCACTCAGGACTGATATTCAATACACTACGGGTGTGCTGGCCAGCATCTAGTTCTAACTGGTTCATGCTTGTGTCAAACCAGCTATTCAAAATTTCTCAATTACCCCTGCACCCATCAGGCATAGCTCGGTCTCTTGAGAATTCTTTTCTCAGTCCCTTTCTCAGCCCTTAGTGATCTCATCTTCATTTGAACGCATGGCTCTCACTTATTTCACAAAGCTCACAAACTTTCCCATAATATCTGGCATACAATTCTTTGCATTTTATTGAAAAAAAAATGACTTATGCTTTTGCTTTTTCTTCCAAAAGAGATGATAATCCCCGTGTACAACTCAGATACCACATATGCACTTATTAATTGATCAATGTACTAGGAGGGACTGTCTGCTGGGGACTTAGTGGAGAGGGACCCTATCTGCCGGTATTATGTGTCAGTGTGCTTATCTTTAGGCAAGTCCATCTTCCAGGGCCTTCTTCCACCCAGCTCTGTTTAAGAGTCGTCCCTATCACCTCAGGTTTGTGGGGGTACTACCATGCCAGTACCCCTTAGGATGCTTGACTACTTTTCTGCATTGGAAGGACAGTGGGGTATCTTGTTTGCCAGCCAATTCAATGCAGGCTGACACCCCAGGCACTCTGAATTAAGGTGGAAAAGCCAACAGCTTTAGAAAAGAGTCCATTTTTATGGGGATTAAAACAAGAAAATGATCACGCACAAAACATCATTTTTTATCTTCTTATATTTAAATTGAAATAAGACAATAAGCTAGATTGGAAGATGAGTTCTTATTGTTAATTGCTAAAGGTGGTGAAGTAATTTAATTTGTTGAACTAGGCAGATGAGGTACATTTTTTATGGTCTTGCCCATAGTGCAATGCTAACAATTATAGAATTAATCATTTTCAGATGTCTCACATTTGTTATTTTAAAGATGTAACTGTAGAGATTTTCCCCTTCTAAGAGCAAGTGGCTATAGTTATGACTTTCATAGGGCAAAACAGCTTAAAGATATACTCAAATAATCCCCAAATTTTAAAATAGGCCTTTTCTACTTCACCACAGTATTATGGTCTAGTCAGCTAACTGAACAATTACAGCTAGACTTTTATTTTTATATGTCTATTATTTATTTATTTATTTTCCTTTTTTTTGTCACCATTTATGCCCCCTATACCCTCTCCCAGCTCCACCCACCTGTCTACCTGTCACCATCACCAAATAGGCTTTTAGAATAAGAGGCTCCATGGAGCGTTGTATACATTTACTATTCCATTTCTACTTATTTATACCTGTGTGAGCACACAGTAGTATGTATTGGTATAACTAACATCTTGGCTATTTCTAAAAAATGCAGGTATCTAGGCCCGACTCTAGACTTTTACACATTTTTAACACCCATCCTCCTTTTGTCCCCCTGGCAATTCTATTAGTCATCCAGGGTTGAGGATCAATGCTATAAAGTATAGTTTGGCTTTGAAGGCACCTGGAGTCTAATTGGGAATATAGGACTTCTGTTTATATCTATCACTCTGTCTTTTTAGCTCCTTTCACAGAAGCATATGATAAATTTCAAGTGAGAAGCATGAACAACATAACTACCATTCTTAAGGGAGGAACAAATTAGCAAAAGAAAACTAAGGAACTAAGGAAATCAGATTTGAACTTATGCTTTAGGATGATTAGAGTGTAAACATAGATGTAAGAACATAGATGAATAGAAGATTAGCATGAACCTAAGCTCATGTGTAAGCTCAGGATGAGTATGTAAGGTATGTGCCAGGTACTAAGTGGATATTAGTTGGAAAATAGAAATCAGATAGCCCTGCACAGGGACTTTGGTCCAAAGATCTGGATTTGAGTTCTGTGCATGTCACTAAATAAGTATATTTCACTTCTCCAAGCTCCAGTTTCCATATCTGCCCAAAGTTTCTATTAGGTTGTTTGGAACCAGTAAGGTAATAGCACTTAATAAACCACATTGCCCAACTCAATGCTAACTATTATTATTGTCTTTGGAGGGAAAGGCATTGAAGGTTCAAGGGCAGAGGAGTGATACATAAAAAGGGTTAATTATTCTATTCATGAGTGAGTGAAAGAAATAGCTAAAAATGAATAATAACTCAATTCATGTAATTGTGTTTAGGCACTTGGAGCCCAGCCTTCAAAAAGATCAGCCGCACTGTCCATCATGGCTGATGCTGAGGCTATGCCTGGTACGTGAGTATCCCCACATACCTTACAACTCAGTGCACAATTCATGACCTCCAACAGCCTTTAAGGACACTTTTAATTAATTATTAATCCCCAGAGCACTAAATTTATTGGTACACCTTGTAAAAATTAAGTTCATCCCCTTTATTTAAATATAACCAACTTTTGAGAGATTGACAGCAACTTTTAACTTAGTGTGCTGTCTGATACAGTATCCACTAGCCACATATGACTCTTCAGTGCTTGAAATGTGGCTAGTGAAACTAAGGAACTGAATATTTAATTTTTTATTATTTTTTTAAAAAATGTTTTTATTGATTCTTAGAGTAAGGAAGAGAGAGAGAGAGAGAGAGAGAGAGAGAGAGAGAGAGACAGAGACATTGATATGAGAGTGCAACATCCGTTGGCTGCCTCCTGCACATATCCTACCAGTTTTTGAGTCCACAGTCCGGACATGTGCCTGGACCAGGAATGAATTTGCAACCTCTTGGTGCATGGGACACGATGCCCAACCAACTGAACCACACAGACCAGGGATTAATATTTAATTTTAGTTCTTTTTAATTTCAATATAAAAACAGATAATTCAGTTATTAGAAAACTTTAAAGCATGTTTGCAGCACCATGGGTACATGAATCTACTTTTTCAAGTGCATATTTTATCTGTCCCAAATAGATCCCAGGAAAGGATCAGGGGTGTTTATCTAAAGGCGTCCCTTGAGATAAACTTTAACCGTGCAGGTGTGGGACATTCAAGTAGTTGCTAGCGAAGAGGCTGCTCTCATGCAAGCAGGACCAGAGTGGCAGGCTTTAGGACCAACAAAGACCAGAGGCTTTAATTTAAATTTTAAGCGTACGCAAATAAATTCAATTAACTGCCGGAGGAATTACACCACATGAAACATATGCAGTTGCAAATCACACAGCTTTTTTATTACTCACATAAATTTCTGAGCTGCGGGTACAAGCTTAGTTAGAGATCCCTGTGGTGCTGTCCTCTGGGGTCCGGCAGCTGGGCTGGTCTTGTCCGGGTGCAGAGGGCCAGCGTTCCTCACCCGATAGTTCGGTCCTGTCTCAATCCATCGGGGGTTGTTAGCTGTTCTTCTGTCGTTTGGCAGGGAGAGGAAGGTGGTGCCGTGTCATTTGTCAGACCGACAAAGGGACGGGCCTTTGTAGCTGTCTTGACAGGCGAGCATCGTTAGCTGCCCGGGGTCCATATTTAAAGTTTGTTCATACCTGTAGCAGCTCAGGTGGCTATCAATGATTTACATCAATGAAAATATGTTAATCTCAAACAGGGCAAGGGGGCTAAGGAGAGAATGTCACTCAAGCAAGTGTTTATCTTTGCAAGTCAACTCTGTATCAGTTCAAATTCTTATCTCTGGGGTACACATGCTTCAAGGCAGCGCGGAATGTGTCTTTAATATTACACTTTAAGTTTTAAGGAAAGTTAACTCAAACATTTTAAAACTTTTCTAACATTCTTTAAGCATTTTAAACGTTTCTATATTTTACTACAACCTTATCCATTCTTAATACAGATCAAATATTTCAGATAAAAATTTAACAACTAAATTGAGATGAATGTAAGTGCAAAATACATATAGAATTTTGAAGACAGAACAAAAAAAGTAAAATATCTCATTAAATTTTAATATTGATTAATGTTGAAATGATATTTGGATATATTTTATTTAAATAAATATTCTATAACAATTAATTATTATATGTTATTAAATTAATTCCACCTTTTTTCACTTTTAAAATTTAACTACTAGAAAATTTTAACTTATATATGTAGCTCACAATATATTTCTTTCAGAGTTGATCTAGATTTGGCCACACTATAAGTAATCTTAAATTTGGGCTTAGGTAGCATGATTGAGAAACATTTACTGCTGTATACAGAGCGAGGATTATTAAGATTTTCTGTTTTGCTATCTCCCCTTGGCTCTTGTGATCCCAGGCAATACGTAATACTGGCAGTTGTTCAATAGAATGCCTCATGGATTCGTTTAACCCCTTTTCTATTTGGATAGTACAGCCCATTTCAAGATGGAGAGAGCATAAAGAGAGGAAGATCCAGGAATGGAGAATGTTCTCTAGTTCATTTTGCCTTTGGGTCATGCCTATAATTACTTAAATTATATTTAAAGTCTTGATACTATGAGCTTGTAATCCTCACTCTCCTTAGCAACCTAGCCTAGTCTGAGAAATATTTTGGAGGAGCACACGATAAAATCTCCGTGAGGTATGTAGGAAACCTATTAATCATTTATTGTTGCAAAGAGGATAGAACACTTTGCTAAAAAAGGACTTAGGTGGGATGTGAGGAAAAGTGTGTCTATAAGAGACAACTCATCTCCTCTATGAGCCTCTCCCCTCATCTAACCCTTCCCTTCATCAGAACGTGCTTTTAAGATATCTTTCTGCACATGCACAAATATTCACTTGTTTGGTATGCATTTGCTATTTTTAGCTAAGGAATGTTTTCCTACAAAATAACACTTAGGAAGAGCTCAAATAAATAAAACCAATAAGGTTGGATTAAAAGGAGGAAGAGCCACCAAGGAACATGAATTCAGTGAAGTACAATTTTGAAACCATTGCCTTAGTCTGGATTTGATTCACTATGTTATTTCTCTTGGGATATTTGTGTTTCAAATCTTATCTCTAAGAATACAATATAAAGTTTAAAGGGAAGTTTTTACGCTAGGGAACTGGCAGTAGGGGGTGTTAGTGATTTATGTTGGCCTCTGTCACAGCACAGATCTTACTGAATGTCATGGCATTTGTTTATAGTTTTTTTTCTGGCACAAGTCTCCAAGTACTTGGAATACAAGGATACTGAGTGGCTTATTTCTTTCAGTACATTTAACACCAAAACAGTATCTGGGACTTAATAGGTACTTAATGACTATGCTGACTGAGTGTTGTTGAGAAGGAAGTAGGGCTTTACTAACACCTATGAAATCAAACAGGCAGTCAGGCACCTTCTCCGGATTATATAGGCAAGGATGCCCTTAGCTATATGGCCCATACATCTTTTTTCAGCATATCCTCTTAGTAAATTTTTATGAAATCTCTGAAGAGTATAACCTGGTTGTAGGAAGGATGGGAACACTCTGAATAAGGCCAGTTATTTTTGTTATGGTTATAAAAAACATGTTTTCTAGTCCATAGGTCTTTTGAATGCAAAAAGGCTTGTTCAGTGATTATAGCAAGAGATAGCCAATGGTTCATTCCATTGTCTTAGTTTCCACGATTACATCTGGTGTCCTCATGTTTTCACTTCAGAGTTTAACTGGAACAATTATATAGAACCTTCTAAAGCAAGGCTTGGGGAATGTCTGGCCTGTGAAATCATTTGGTCTTACCCTGCAATTAGGGGTGAGTTAATTAAATGTTTGACCAAATATAGCAGACTAAATTTTAAGTTGATAATTTTGTATGGATCTTGAATCTATAATAGTAAAAGGGAAATGTGCTAATTAGACCAGACAACCGAATGACCTTCCGAACATCATTCCAGACATCCTTCTGGACAAAGCTGCCACAGTGGGGGCCAAGAGAGGTGGTTAGGGGTGGTCAGGCAGGCAAGCCGAGCAGTTAGGGGCGATCAGGCAGGCAGGCAGGAGTGGTTAGGGGTGATCAGGCAGGCAGGCAGGAGTGGTTAGGAGCCAGTGGTCCTGGATTATGAGAGGGATGTCCGACTGCCAGTTGCAGGATTGGGCCTAAACCGGCAGTCAGATATCTCCTGAGGGATACCGGATTGCTAGAGTGTGCAGGCCAGGCTGAGGGATACATCCTCCCTCCCGTGCATGAATTTCGTGCACCAGGCCTTTAGTTATGTTATAAATATCTAAATGGCTCTTGGCAGAAAAAAGGTTCCCCACTCCTGTTCTAAAACATTATGAGAAAGATGAAATTTTATGAACAATCAATCATAGTAGCATTAAATTGATGATATATGAGTGATTTTTTTTTTTAAAAAAAAAATATATATAATGATGTAGGAAAATGTTTTAGGCTAGTGAAATAATTTGTCAGTAGAGATTCATTTCCTTTCCCCATGGAAATGCTAGTATTTTCAGTCATGTTTTAGCCAATTTCAGTATGACTATTTCAACTTTTTCATGAACTTTATTATAAAATATTTGTTATTGCTTATAGTAATTTTTTTATTCCTATATGGGGATATGGTAACTTGAAGAACCCAAAGTGTGAAGATATTTTATTATTTGCAAACCTATTATTAATTAGTTTTAATAAAAAAGGCTATAATAAGATAAGATTCATTCATACTAATTTAGAAAGTTGAAATTTATTTTTGTGGTGTTGAAAAAATGAGGATTGACTGATAAAATTAATCACATAAGTAGCCCAATGATAGTAATACAACAATAAATATGGTAATAATAATTGTTCACATTTATTGAAAGCTTATTATGTGCTTGGTGCTGTGCTAACTGCTCTGTAACCAAACCCAATTTTATTCTCATAACAAGTCTGTGAGATATATTATTATTATTATCCTCATTTTACAAATGAGAGTGAAGTCTTAAGACAACAAAATAAGGCTCATGAGCAAATTAGAATTCAAGACCAAAATAGTGTGACTCAGGAATAAGAGTTCTTAAAACGCATTCTGTCTGCTATGGATATGTATTTGCAAATAAAGCCTTAATTATATTTTTTAACAGAGAAGGAGACAACCTCTTCTTAATAATTAAAGTTATAATGTGCACTTGAATGTATAAAAGCTGCATGCTTATATGCTTACTCCATTCTGAAACAAAGAAACAAAGATTATTAACTGGATGGATTCTTAATGCCAAGATTGTTTACTTTCTTGTGATTTTAGATTTATTTGTGGAATATACACATGTGCTTGGATATTATAAAAAGAAAGAACAGACTCTGGCTTTGTCTTTTCCAAGGCATTGAAATATGAATTATTTTGCACTACCTTGAAAATTTAACTCTTTGGTTGAGACTGATTGTTAGTTACAGGAGAAAATCAGAACAGGTGCTGCAGCACATTAAATGACAATGAGGGCTCAGGACTGCTGACTTGGAATCAAGGTGTCAACACACCTTCAGTGGCTCCATCTCAGGATCCATGTAAAATTGCTCTCTTTTGGTGCCTGCCATTTTTTTGTCCCTTACATACAATCACAGGCCTTGTTTTGTTCAGGAACCTCAAGACCTGACTGTGTGGGTTCACTGTGGCAGTACCTAGATGAGTTGGAATTTACTTACTGACTCCAAGAAGACCATTTGTGTTGGCAGAATGTACACAAGCTCCTCCACAGCTCACAGGCAACAAGTGACTTTTGAGGATGGGGAAAATTAGACACACTAGTCAGCAAGAGCCCAGATAGACAGAAAAGGCTACCTTGGGACTTTAACTCCTCTGTCAAAGTCCAAGTTTTAGATATTAAGGGGAAAATGAGAATGGCTCTATCAACACATTAAATTACAACAAGGGTGCAGGATTGCTGGCTTGAAATGAAAATGTCATAGCCCATTCAAGTTGTTATAAAAATATATAATAGGGTGGTTTATAAACAGGAGTAACTTATTTCCCACAGTTCTGGAGACTTGGAAGTCCAATCATGATGCCGACCATTCGATGTCTGGTGAGGACTGCTTTCTCATTGATGGACATCTTCTCACTCTCAGCTCACATTAGTGGAAGGAACTACCTACCTCTCTGGGGTCTCTTTTCTAAGGGCACTAATCCCAATCTCAAAAGCTCTACCCTCATGGCATAATCACCCCCCAAAGGCTCCACCACCTAATATCATTACATTAAGCATTAGGTTTCAATATATGAATTTTGGGGACAGGACATATATATTGTTTGTAGTGTAAAGTGTTGTTGAAATACAAGTACTCAACTAGGGTAACCAACCCAATGCAAGAGGATTCTCCAGTCCTTACAGGGAGACCATTGCATCAAGTTAAGATGCAGATGTGTAGAAAAAGCAAATTCATGAAACCAGCATGGCTGTGCAGCTTTAGAAGACTCTTGGGCCCTCTGCATCTTAGAGCTTTGCTGTAAATGAAGGCTAGATCATCTCTAAGGTCTTGTCTGGAATGAAAACAGGATGGTTTTTATAAATCTACATTTCCACCAAAACCCAGTGATAATCATTTCATATATTAATAAATTATATTGACCGTTGTGTGTCTGATACAGGCAATAATGTAATTCTAAGTGATTATAAGAGCCGGTTAGTCAAAAGAGAGGAAGTAAGCAAGGACAAGTTGTGAAGTCACAACTTGAAAAGCTCATTGTCTTTTCTTCAGAAAGTTAGGGGTCTGGTTAGGAATTCAGTCTGGCATTTTGTAATAGCAGCCCAAATAGACTAAGACAGTATCTCATTATGGTTTTGATTTGCTTGAATATGGAAGTTTAATTGCTTGAAATTTGAGCGGGTGAAAAGAAGAAAGAGAAAAATCTTAATCCTAAGAGTACTAAAGGAGGTAGAGTTTTAGAAATGGAGAGCACACTGACCAGACTTAAAGCTAATTTAAATGGGTCATGTGACTTAATTTTACTGAGTCCAGGTTAAGAGGAGAAAGCCAAGAAACACTTTTAAATGTCACAATCGGCAGATGATAAAGAAAATGTAAGGCAGAAATCAGGAATAAATGAGAATGATGTATTCTATGTAGGTGCTATAAAATTCCATATATAGTTCTAGAGGAAAAGAATAAATTAAGAATCTAAGGCACTTATAAATGAGGCAAGAGTTATTATAATACTATTCATTTGTAGGTGTGTATATTTTTATCTTAATTCTATTCCTATTTAACAAACCTATTGAGTTTTATGTTGCAGTTATAATTTAATCAACATGCTTTATGTACAGTCGTATGTATTATTCAAGAATAGAGAACACAAATAAACTTGATAATTTTTGTACCCAAATCATGCTGTTGTGTCTTCTGTATAGTAACATTTTAAAAAGTTTTAGAAGCATTTGAGATTTCAATTTTGTGTGCCTTCTTTGGTTTCCCTGAATTTTAATAATTTAGGATAATCTATCACTCTGACCATTATAAGCTGATGTTTTTTAAAGAAAAATATTACATTAAAGGAGTATTACATTAACTTCTTTGCATTCACTTATAAGTTACACTTATAAAAATTCACTTTTTAATAATGTCCTGCAAGATTCATAACTGTCCCCAAATTTTAATATCATAGGTTTGTCATTTTTGATTAAGAAACTACATTAACTACATTATAAAAAGTTTCTCTGTTTTTATTTTAGGTACTGTATTAGAGATCTCCAAGCAAGATTTTTTTCAGGAAGCAAAAACTCTCATTGCCCAACATTATGAGAACATAAATGAGGTGAGTGCATTTATCTAACATTATATTTTTCTGGAAACTAATATTTTTGTATATTGCAATGATCATTTCAAATGATTGCATGTATCCCAATAGATTTTGAATAGAATTAAGAGAAAATGAAATACTTAGTAGTTATAATAACTGATTTCATATTGCATTTAAAATTTAATTTTTTAGCTACACAGATTATTTAATTATACAGATGTACGTAATTTGCACACTTAATTCTTAATGTTGTCTTGATGAATTATAACAAATATTTGGATTAAATATCTCACGTAAATATCCCTCTTTAAACAGTATTAGACAAAGCTAAACTAGAAAATATGCTGTGAGATGTCTCCTCTATGTCCCTGACATGACATGCTTATCTGATCTCCTTCCACATCACTTTGCATTAAAATGTTTACTAGTCTGATAGTTTCTTGAGGGTGTTGACTGCCTTTTTTGAATGTTGCATCTCCAGCAACAGGCATTGTGCCTGGCCCAAAAAATATCTGCTGAATGGCATAGATTCGGAAAGCCAGGGAAGAAAGGATGAAAAGAAAAGTGATGGCAAAGAGATAATATAGGGTGAATTTTGGAGGACAGTCTCTGCAGAGGAGATGAAAAATTTTGGGGAATAGCAGCTATTGTGATAAATGGGCATTTGGGGCAATAAGTGAGGGAAGAGGATCTTAGAATCATGTACTTTGTGATCACTGTCCTATTCCCTTTTGAGTACTTTTTAAATCAATGTATTTGAAATAAAGATTTTAAATATTTTTCAATGCTTACTGTGGAGGAAGGTGATTATAATTTTTACATGTATCTTTTGAATGGTCCTCTGCTGAGACTGGACATAGGTGGTTTTAATCTTGTAATCAACATTGGCATTATTGCTTAACTGTTTCCTTTAACCAAAAAAATACTTTAAAATTACATTGATTTAATTAGCAGGTGCATGGGATGAAAACTTCACAGTCTTCAGAGTTAGGTAAATGTGCCTTAGAACTCTGACCATGTTTAAGAGTTTAATAACAGCTTAATAGTCCATCTTTGCATGGAAAACATAATACCTTATTAGTGGCATGTTGACTTGGCAACAATTTGAATTTTTCTAAATCTTTTTATGGGCCAGAGTATGACTAGCTAGAAAAAGTATGATTGTTTGAACAATTGCTTGTCAGATACCTGAGACTGTATTATTTTTCTATTGCTTAAAATTAAGAAGTATATAAGTGTTACAAAGCCACTGTTCTCAAAACTGCCTGGTACTGGCACAAGAACAGACATATAGATCAATGGAATAGAATAGAGAACCCAGAAATCGACCTGAACCAATATACTCAATTAATATTTGACAAAGGAGGCAAGAACATACAATGGAGTCAAGAGTGTCTCTTCAATAAACGGCGTTGGGAAAATTGGACAGATCCATGCAAAAAAAAAAAAATGAAACTAGAACACCAACTTACACCATACACAAAAACAAACTCAAAATGGATAAAGGACTTAAATGTAAGACAGGAAACCATAAAAATACTAGAGGAATCCAAAGGCAACAAAATCTCAGACATATGCTGAAGCACTTTCTTCACCGATACAGCTCCTAGGGCATTGGAAACTAAAGAGAAAATAAACAAATGGGACTACATCAAAATAAAAAGCTTCTGCACAGCAAAAGAAACCATCAACAAAACACCAAGAAAGCCCACTGCATGGGAGAACATATTTGCCAATGTTATCACTGATAAGGGTTTAATCTCCAACATTTATAGGGAACTCATACAACTTAACAAAAGGAAGATAAACAATCCAATAAAAAAATGGGCAAAGGACCTAAACAGACACCTCAAAAGAGGACATTCAGAAAGCCAAGAGACATGTGAAAACATGCTCAAAGTCACTAATCATCCAAGAGATGCAAATCAAAACAACAATGAGGTATCATCTCATTCCTGTCAGAATGGCTATCATCAACAAATCAACAAACGACAAGTGCTGGAGAGGATGCAAAGAAAAGGAAACACTCGTGCACTGCTGGTGGGAATGCAGACTGGTGCAGCCACTATGGAAGACAGTATGGAGTTTCCTCAAAAAACTAAAAATGGAACTCCCATTTGACCCTGTGATCCCACTTCTAGGAATATATCCCAAGAAACCAGAAACACCAGTCAGAAAGCTTATATGCTTCCCTATGTTCATAGCAGCACAAATTACAATAGCTAAGATTTGGAAACAGCCTAAGTGCCCATCAGCAGATGAGTGGATTAGAAAACTGTGGTACATCTACACAATGGAATAATATGTGCTGTAAAAAAGAAGGAATTCTTACCATTTGCAACAGCATGGATGGAACTGGAGAGCATTATGCTAAGTGAAATAAGCCAGTCAATGAAAGAAAAATACCACATGATCTCACTCATTTATGGATAATAAAGACCATTATAAACTGATGAACAAAAATAGATACAGAGGCAGAGCAGCATCGAACAGACTGTCAAACTACAGCGGGAAGGCCGGGGAGGGTTTGGGGGCAGGAGGTGGGGAGGAGTAAGAGATCAACCGAAGGACTTGTATGCATGCATATAAGCATAACCAATGGACACAAGACACTAGCGGGTAGGGGAGGCTGGGGGAATGTCAAAGAGGGGAAAAAAAGGACACATATGTAATACTCTTTATAATACTTTAAGCAATAAAACAAAATTTAAAAAAGAAGTATTTAAGTAATTGAACTTACTTGAAATACATATCCAATTATGAATAGTCTTTTCAGTTTTTTTATAGTTTAATGCATTTTTAAAAGCAAACTTGCAGAAACAGCACAGAAAACAGACAACTTTAAAAGCATATACTTGCATGTAGGACAACTCAGTTAGAAAAGCATAGTGAATGGATTTAAGGCATTTAAGTGATTAAAATTATCTGAAATACATATCCAATTATTAATATTATTTTCTGAGAATCTACTTCTATGTATTAGCAATTATTTATGGTTCAACAGATAAAGTGCTTTGGGGGTGTAAGCATTTTATGGACATTTGAGAATTTTTCAAAGATGGTTGAAAATAAATTCCTTTTTTAAAAAAAAATATTTTATTGATATTTTACAGAGAGGAAGGGAGAGGGATAGAGAGTTCGAAACATCGATGAGAGAGAAACATCGATCAGCTACCTCCTGCACACCCCCCACTGGGGATGTGCCCGCAACCAAGGTACATGCCCCTGACCGGAATCGAACCTGGGACCCTTTAGTCCGCAGGCCGACGCTCTATACAATGAGCCAAACCAGTTAGGGCGAAAATAAATTCTCATATGTCTAGTTGAAAACTTCTGTCTTAAAATAGACTTTAAGGTTACATTTAAAAATATCACATTTGAAAAGAAAATTACTATTTTAAATTTAGATTTTTTTGAAGTAGAATGCAACCCTCATGCCTGTGAAGTACCTTTTGAGAACTACATAGGATAACATCTGCTTCATTGGGGCACTATCATATGCTTTATAGTAAATATCTTATATGGTAAGGCACTTTGCCAAATGTATTTAGTGTATATAAGTTTATTACTCTTAATAAAATTTATTATATACTTTTATTATATAATCAATATGACAATTACATTTAAAATTAATTTTTGTTTTATTCACAGAACAAAGTTCAAGGTACTTCTATAAATGTTTTTAGAAATAAACAGCAAAAGCCGAAACCTGGCAAATACATACCTTCAAAGATTAAAAAAAAGGAAATATTTGATGTGGTCCAAGAACTCCAGAGAGCTCACAAACGTCCTTATTTTCACAAAGATGTTTCCAAGGGGGAATGTTTTGAGGAGCCCCCTCCACGAACTTCTTTGAAGGAGTCACACATGTTTGATGTAAAAGGAAAAATCAAGGGATATGTAGATCTAATTACAAAAGGTAAGTTTTTGGTGGAGCAAAGAAGTTCAATAAACTAGCAGGCAGAAGTGTTTGTTTCTGGTGTGTTTTAAATGGACTTCCCTTGTTCAGACAAAAATCCAGATTTTAAATTTTAGCAATGAAAGATAGAGAGATAGAGAGGCATGATTAAAAGAGTTGCTAACCTCTGGGGGCCACCTGGAATTGAGAAGAGAGCATCCTAATGGGCAAGAGGAATTTAGATGAGCACTACTGGTAGTTACATCTTCCAACAGGGTGATATTCCTTCTAGTACAAGTCCTCAGAGACCAGTTAGTTCACGGTTAGTAGTGCAGTCAGAGGTGTATGGCTTTGGATTCTATTGTTGAGCAGGGTAGGTAAGGTAGGCAAGCTATTTGTGGGTGTGTTCCTCCAAAACCCTCTAAGGATTTTTGGGGAGTTATAGGTTTTTTCTTTAAGACAAATTATAGTAAAGATTTATTCTCTGTCAAGAACTTGGTAAGGTTGAACCTGAAGGTCCATTTAAACAAAGTGATATTGTTTTCTTGAGACTAATGGCTGGAATAAATGACTTCTTAAAAATACATTTTTAGTTATAACTATTTAAAATGCATCCACATTTTCTCTTTGTTATTGCTTCTTAGGCTGTTAATTCATTTCAAGTTTTGTCTTCATGCAACGCCTGCTCTGTGCCAGGCACTATGTTGGGAGCTGGAGAAATAAAGATTAAAAGGCTCACAGAGTAATGGGGATGGGTACACACATAGGTAGTTTCTTATCATACAATGTGGCGATGGCTGTAATAGAGGTGTGTGCAAAGCATTATGGAAACACTGAAGCATAACCAGCCAAGTGCTGGAATGAAAATCTCTCAGAAGGGACCTCATTAGGAATGGGTTTCCAGGAGAAGTTTACTAGAGGTAGGATGGAAACAGGAGAGGCCATTTGGAGTAGTGACAGTGAAATAATAACACCCCAAAGGATGAAAGAATGTGATGTTTTGGGAAAGGAGAGCTGTGGAAAGAATTGAAGTTGGGAAGATGGGTGAGGCTAGATTTTGAAGGTAATACAATATGAGGTCCAGTACTTGAACTTAAGTGTAATGGAAAGCCAATGGTGATTTTAAAGTTGGAGTTGCAGACGGGATGAGGCATGAGCAAATCTGTCTGAGAGAAAAATAAAACTGGTAGCAGGGGCTCCGGAGAGAGTGGTGGCAGAGGGTCCAGCAGGAGGCGTTTCAGGAAAGAGATGGTCTGTGTAAGAGATGGCAGGTCTAAATTAGGGCAGTAATGAGGCATGAAGTATGGAGGAGTGATGTTACAGTAGCATTTCTCACAGAGTAGTCTTCAGAACACTAGTCCTGAGTGACTCACCTTGACAAAAGGGTTATTTGATTAGATACGTTTGAAAAAAATTCATTCAGTTCTTCAAGTTTCATATTGAGCATTAATATATTGAAAGATCTGAGAAATACTGCAGAAAAAATCTGTCTGCTGTTTTTAATGTGGCTATCCTCAATTAACCTAATTAAAGAATTCCTAAAGAATGACATTGCAGTCTCTAGCCTGGTAAACTAAACAGATAGCATTAAGTTGAGGTAGGAATTCAGAGGGAGAAGCAGATTTTGGTCCAGTGGAGAAAAGGGTGGGGAAAATAATGAACCTGTTAGCTTTGGACCTATTAGGTAGACATCTATGTGGAGATAATGATTAGAAAGTTGGAAATAGATATCTGGCACTTAAGAGAGAAGTAGGTGAAAGCTGAAGGAGAGTACCCAGCAAAGGAGGTGGGAAATGAACAGCTGGGAGGGAAATCAGAAGAGTATGAAATATGTTACTGATACTTTGGTCAAAGAGGAGGAACACCTTAGGGGCAAGGAAAGCTCATCTATTATCCCAGGAGGAAGTCAGGGCTATGAGCACAGACACAGGCTGATTGATAAATTAGGGGGTGAGATTGCTTCTGTTGTTTTGGTGAAATTAAAAATGAGGTTTTCACCTGAGGATGGGATGGGACGTGCTGGAGTTTTGGGGAGCAAAGAGAAAGCTCAAATAGCCATAATCTGGGCAAGTATGAAAGTGCACGGACTATGAAAAGATAGTTTGCTATGAAAAATAAATCCACCCCTCACCCTTTTTTAAGAGAAAAGAGAAATGATTGGGAAGTGTCAACAAGGATCAAGGAAGAAAACGACTTTCTCTTTAGCCCTAAAGTATGGGGAGGGTGGGAAATAAAGTTACTTCTTGGGCGAGTGCTGAAGAAGCTGTATCCTTAGGAAAATAAGGGCTGTTAGAACAAGGAGATAGGGGAACATATGAGAACATAGCTCGAATATCAATTTAGCTGACAAAAGATTTGGGGTTTCCTAGGGCATAGTGAAGAGTTTGGGGAGGTGATTTAAGAAAGGATGAAAGGTTGAGGGTTTATGGAGCTAAGACAAATGCAGAGAGAATGAGAAGAGTAGTTCTGAGGGCCTCCCAGAGAAGGTGGGTAATCTTTGCCAACGATGGTCGCTTTTGGGGATTGTTCTTTTCAGCAGGTTATCTTGAAGCCACAGATGTTGGGGATGGGCATGTAAGAAAGGAATGAAAGTTTTTTAAGAGCACAAGGAGGACGGTGGCCATCCAGAAAATCTTACTATAGACACTGTTGAAGTCAGAGACATTTTACTAGGGACCTCTGCATGTACTCCCCGAGACAGCTGTGGAGTGCTGATCCTAGAGTTTATATGTAAATGAAAATTGCAATTTATTTCTCTAAGTTCTTATCTCAAAAAGCCTATATTAGGTCTGTAACTTGAATTGATTTTTAAAAACATATTCTCAATATTCATTTCACTGTGAATGGAAGCATGATCTAAGATCTCTGGCATTAATGCCAGGACTTGATTAAAGTTTGTGAGATTAGAAAGAAAAGTGAGTCCTGTGTGTCTGGTATATGTATGTACCTTTTGCTCCTGCTGCACTGACAAACTCAGTTGCATTATCTTCCATAAGTTGAACATTTTATGTGAGAACAAACCAAACATATCTTAAATTTGATCTAAGAATATCAACTTTAAAAATATACTATAACAATTATGATATCAAATATCTTTAGTAATTATGTTTTTGTGCTTGCATATGATACATACTCATGTTTTACTGAATAGAGCAAAATCAGAAAAAATATCAAATGATTTCCTCTTTGAGTATATAGGTATTCTACAGTACTGCTTAACCAGTTTCTATTGCCATGCTGCCAACAATTTATGAATCTTGATTAGAAATCACATATAAAAATCAGTTTTTGTAATATATATTAAATATTAGTTTATAGTTAATATATATATTATATATATATATATATAATATATATATACACACACACACACTATATAACAGTGGTTCTCAACCTTCCTAATGCCAGGACCCTTTAATACAGTTCCTCATGTTGTGGTGACCCCAACCATAAAATTATTTTCGTTGCTACTTCGTAACTGTAATTTTGCTACTGTTATGAATCATAATGTAAATATTTGATATGCAGGATGTATTTTCATTGTTACAAATTGAACATAATTACAGCATAGTGATTAATCACAAAAACAATATGTAATTATATATGTGCTTTCCGATGGTCTTAGGCGACCCCTGTGAAAGGGTCGTTCGACCCCCAAAGGGGTCGTGACCCACAGGTTGGCGACCCAAAGGTTGGGAACCGCTGCTATATAATAAAAAGGTAATATGCAAATTGGCCCTAATGGCAGAACGACCTGGAACAACCAGTAGCTTACACATACTGACCACCAGGGAGCGGACACTCAATGCAGGAGCTGCCTCTCCTTCTCCATGCCCCCCCCCCCCCAAGTGCATGAATTTTCGTGCCCTGGGTCTCTAATATATATATATATATATATATATATATATATATATATATATATATATATATATATATATATATATGGTATGCATCTGCTTATGCATTCCCTTGAAAACAAAAAATACTTAGGTGCTATTTTAACTTATTTAAATTCAAAAATAGATTTTTATTCAACCCAATTAAATTTTATTGTATTCATGTCAAGAAAATACATTTAGGGTTGCTATTGGATTGTTTTCTAACAGCTTGGAAAGGAGTAGATGTGTGTGTGTGTGTGTGTGTGTGTGTGTGTGTGTGTGAGAGAGAGAGAGCACGTGCATGCACGCATGTGTGTACATGTGGGTGTGTTCTTTGGTTTCCAAATAATAAATCTCTTCCTTAAAATATAAAATGACGGCATCATGAATTTTAATAATGCTTTAAAATAATTACATGGCTAGAAAGCACTGGAAAAACCTGTCGGAAAAAATGACTTTGTTTTATGTTTATTTTTTTGCTCACAGTTGGTGACAGCTTACCAAGAAGGTTTTTGATCAACAATGTTTATAAAATCTATTTTAACAATTTTAAGTGTATGGCTGATATTAACAAACATTACTCTTTCCCACAAAAGTATTTGGAGAAATTTAAGACCAGTTCTTATAACAATTTATAAGAGCTGTGAAAACTAGAGTTTATTTAATGAAATGGAAAATTATATCGAATTTGGTATTACAAAATAATTTGAAACTTGAAACATACTAATATTCCCCCATGTATAAAAACAACCTCTAATTGAGGAATTTGTAAATAATGGAATAAATTTGGGTTGTTCTTAGTGATCATCTCACAGAGAATTTAGCAATTGCTTCTCTGCTTCTCTTAGTTTCTTTCTGGTTTAGATTGCTATGTTTCTTCCTATTTCTTGTTAGGAATTTTCTTTTGATTGCCTGTGTTCTTGAAGAAAGAACCTAAATAGAATTTTAAAAATTAGTAAATGAATAGCATTGTATAGCTGAGTAACAAATGCCTTGAACACAGACATTTCTTCTTTATGCTTTTTCTCTTTTTGTACTGACCTGGCAAGCTCTGACCTCGAAAGGTGTCAGATGGAGACACAAAGTAAGAGAGGAATCAAATTGCTTCAGTAACAACATGTTTTATTACACTGAAGTAGCCACCATGTACAGTAACATTTAATAAATTGATAATATCTTAAAAATGAAAATCATTAAAATCTTATAAAGGATTTAGAGACAATTGAATTCTTTTTACCACCTTCCTTCTACTAATTCTATTGTTAGTCTAGAGGACAACTTAGGGAATAACAGAAATCTTAGGATTAGGTAGTGACTTCCAGAGATTTTTTGATTTAGTACATTTGTTCCATGTTTTGCATTTGACAAGGAACATAGGCAGAGAAGAGTTAAGAGGCCAGTGAAATATTTCACAGTGGGCTGGGGTCCTTCCTAAGTCTTTTGTACAGAAGCTTTATGTACGAAGAAATAATACCATCTTCTCCTAGGAAATGTGAGTCATTGCTTCCTAGAAATGGTTTTCTGTGTGTACTGAAAACCTTCTTCAGCAGAAATTTATTGTTTTTGGCTTTTTGGCATCCATAATAGCTCTCTGGTTTGACTTTGGGGAAACACTCCTTCCACCTTAAATCTGTGCAGTGTGGGAGGGCTGTCACCCCAACTCCTAGCTCTAGGGTGGACATGTGATTCCTTCCGCTTACCCAAGTAGAAGAGCTCATTTTCCTGGCCACAGTGATTGGATGGAGTGACTGGGCTTAAACCAGCAGGGATGAGATGTGAGCCTGGAGGCACCAAAGAACACAACATGGGATTGTAGAATCAAGTCAACCTGATAGAGTAAGCTGAACAGTGCAGAGAAACAAAGTCCCGAGGACAATGTTTAAGCTTCGGCCCCAAGCTTTTCTGAAGACAAACTTCACTTGGACTATCCAGTTTAGTTGAGTCTGTGAATTATGCCCCTTTGAGAAGGCAGTACGGGTTAATGACTCGAAACATGGGAGTCCCGACTGCCTAGACTCAAATACCAGTTTTTGTACTCATTAGATTCCTTAAACTAATTTGGCTTTCTGTTGGTTTTCTCTGGTAGCCTGATGGAAACATTGTAGAAAAATTTTACGTAACGTGCCACTTTGACACCTCGATTTTAGACATCTGGCCTCCAGATATGTGAGAGTATACATTTCTATTGTATTCAGCCATGAAGTTTTTGGCAATTTGTTATGATGGGCATAAAAATATAATAAAGTGGACTTCCAAAAGTAAGTTTCAATTATAGGCATCATTTACAAAATATTTTTCCTTGTATAATGAGTGTAAAAGTGTAACCCATAGGTTGTTTCAACTTTCATTTCCTCATTCATACATTTATTCAGCAACTATATAAAACGCCTATTTGAACTGGATGCTGTGTACCATGGTCCCCGCCCTGATGGAACTTTCAGTTTAATAGAAATTCTCTCCCACTCTCTTAAAAAGCATGGTAGTAGTTGTTTTTTTTGTGGTGGGGACCAGGGTTATACTAAATAGCTGCCCCTTTCCTTCTGAGTTTGGAATCAATTGAATTGAGAAATAAGACACAGGAATTGGGCAAATGAGATTAAAATGCTCATTTTGTTACTGACAAAGCAGATGAGAAAATATTGCCCTGGAAAAGTAGCCCTGTGGCTTGTTAATCCTCTTCCAGAATGAACCGAATTCTCCCCATCACAGGCAGAATTTGCAGCAGCCACACTCCTCCCCTGCCTCCAGCACAAAGAAGCACAGGCCCTGTAACCAAGCCTTGTGCAGAGGAGACTCGCTGCTTGTTCTGTGCTGGCAGCCTGGAGAAGCTCAGGGGACTAAGCTCAGCCTGACTCTCATAGAGTGAGGACAGGGATGGGGGAAGGCAGGCCTTTTACTCTCACAAACCAGAGTTATGAGCCTTTCTGGCTGGCCATACCCTCGTGTCTCTTGTAGGTCTGAACTAAGAGAAAGTAGCACTATGGGTGTGCTCCCCAATGGTATATCTTCCTGTCAGAGGCCACTAAGAGTAGATGTTACAAACAAAACTTGCAGGGTTTGCCTGTAGTCTGAGGTTTACATACCTTTGGGTTTGGAAAAGGAACAGCCATAAACTGGGTATTAAGGTAATTAAATCTTTTACTGGGTGTAATTTCCTCCTAGCAATGCTAGACATTTTGGGACAATAAAAAATGTGCAAGCCATCAAACACTTCCTGCCTCTCAGTAAGTGAAAGTTGGTTATCCCCAGCCATTAACATTTGTATTAATTTAAACTTTTTTTCAGGCAGAAATATCACTAATATGATAATTAGTAAATCAAGTAATTTTCATTGTAAACATTTGAGGCTAAACTTCTTGTTAAGATCTTAGCTGTCTTTCTGAGACAATACATTTCTGAGATTGATAGGTTTATATAAAATAAGCAGTGACTAACTTAATTGACTTCTCTTTTTACTATTTTGAAATGGAGTTTTTAGACGTTGACTTCCATATAAACAAAGGAATGTAACCCCATTTTCAATAAGAGAAAATCTTTTGTCATTTTGAGACTACATTATTAATGTGCTCCCCTAATTTGTCCCCTTGCCTCTGGTCTCAGCCTGAATTAATCTTTTTTTTTTTTTTAATATATTTTATTGATTTTTTACAGAGAGGAAGGGAGAGAGATAGAGAGTTAGAAACATCGATGAGAGAGAAACATCGATCAGCTGCCTCCTGCACATCTCCTACTGGGGATATGCCTGCAACCCAGGTACATGCCCTTGACCGGAATCGAACCTGGGACCTTTCAGTCCACAGGCCGACGCTCTATCCACTGAGCCAAACCGGTTTCGGCCTGAATTAATCTTTAAATAAAGTTATGCCAGAGTGATTTTGTAAAATGTGAATCCTATACTCTCTTAAAACCCCTCAATGTTTCCCCAGGGCTTAAAGGATAAAGGAGATGAAGTTCTGTGTTTTATGCATCTTAACTATAAATATTAAAAATTGATTAACCATTAGAGGAGAAAGACTGAATTATCTTTCCATTCTTTTTATGGAAAATATGAAATTTTTGTAGCATGAAGAGGTGACTAAATAGCCTATAGCTAAATGAGTAGGGAAACGTATTAAAGAAGTGTTTCTGGTAGTTAATTAACAAAAACAGTATTTTTTGTAGATTTTATCATGTGATCGTTGTCAACTTTATAGAATTTATTTGTGGTGATAATCATCTCTAATTCTAAATATTCACATTCATACCTCATTTTGTATTTATGTTTTTATAGACATGTCTTTAGTGTGACTCCCACAATTTTATAAATTTTAGTCCCCAAAATATCTGGATTCGCTGATGGAGAGGAAAAGTTAGAGATAGGAAACTCTGAAGCTATTGTTGTGAAGTAGACATAATGAGATGATGACTTGGCTTAGGACAGCGGTTCTCAACCTGTGGGTTGCGACCCCTTTGGGGGTCAAATGACCCTATCACCGGGGTCACCTAAGACCATCGGAAAACACATATATAGTTACATAGTGTTTTTGTGATTAATCACTATGCTTTAATTATGTTCAATTTGTAACAATGAAAATACATCCTGCATATCAGATATTTACATTATGATTTATAACAGTAGAAAAATTACAGTTATGAAGTAGCAACAAAAATAATTTTATGGTTGGGGGTCACCACAACATGAGGAACTGTATTAAAGGGTCGCAGCACTAGGAAGGTTGAGAACCACTGGCTTAGGGTGATGGCAAGTATTTAGGTTTTGGGTTTGTTTTAAATGTAGAGCCTTCAACAGGATTTGCTGATGAGTTGGTTATTGGATGCTATTGAAGATAAAGAGGAGAGTCAAAGATAATCAAGTCATCAGCAAATTTCTGTTGAAGATTATACCTTTAAAACAAATTCAAAACCGAAATGCTTTTGCCCTAAGTTACTGAGGATAAAGTTTCCACTTACCAAGACAGGGATGTCTATAGGAGGAACAGATATGCTTCTTATGACCAGGAATTAAGCTGTAGTCATATGAAGTCTGACATATCTGTTAGACATCTAAGTGGAGATATTGGAATAGTAAGTGGGTATCTGAGTTTGGAGTTCATGGCAGAGGACTAGGCTCAGGTATCACTTTGGGATATCTTATCTTATATATAGTATTTAATGCCTGAAAGGTATATGATATGCCATACAAGTTAGAAAAGTCCCAGAACTAAGCCATGGAGTATTTAGAGGTGAGGGAAAGGAGGAGAAACTAGCAAAGATGACAGAGAAAGGAGCAGTAAGAGAGGATGGAAAAAGCCAAAAAAGAAAAACAAAAAACAAAAAACAAACAGGAGACTGAGAATGAGATGGAAGCTGAGTGAAGAAGGTGTTTCAAGTATGAAGGAGAGACTGATCAGACGTGTCAAATTCTGCTTATAGATCACGATTAGGACTGAATGTTGACATTGAACAGTAACATGAAGGTCAGTGAGGACCTCCACACCTACTGTTCTGGGAGAGTAGTCAGTTTAGAAGAGATTGGGCAGAGAGAAATGAGACAAGTGTAAGAACTATTTCGAAGTGTTATGTTATACAGGAGAACACAGAAATTGGGTACCTATTAGAAGAGATCAGGGAGAGTAGTTTTCTTTAGTTTATTGTTTTAAGATGGAAGAAATAGTAAAATTTCTGTTCAGAACAATCAAGAGGAGAGGGAAAAATAACTAAAAAACGACGAAGAAAGAATAATTGCTGGGAGCAATGTCCTTCAGGTGAGAGTGGATGAAAACTGTTGTATATGCAGAGGGTTTGGCCTTAGACTATAATGTGGATTATTTTACCTTCAATAATGAGAGGACACACCGAGCATATGGATACAGATGCTGTCAAGAGGGAAGCTTTGGCGGTCTCCTTTGATTGCTTTCTCAGTGAAATGCAAAGCAAGGACATCAGCTGAAAGCAAGCTGAGGGGTGGAGGGAGGTGTTGGAGGTTTAGAGTCAAAAATAAACACAGAGGGGAGAGTGAACAGACAACAGTGTTGTGCTGTGATTAATGTAGCATTAAGGTCCACTTGGCTTCATATTAATGACTATGAAATGAGATCAATCATGTTTCTGTTTTATCCTATCACATTGACTATGCAAGTATCACAGAATAGGCAGAGACTTAAATTCAACTAGAGTTTTGTGTATTCTCAAATGAAGATGACAAAATGAGGGCGTGGCAATGGAATTGAGAGTCCATGAGAGAGAGAGAGAGAGAGGCCATAAGGATTAGCTTTGGAAGTTAAGCTGGCTAAGAGATGAAGGTGGTAAGCAGGAGTGAAAAGGTAGTGGTATCAATGAGTTGCAGGTGCTGGTAACGGTCAAAGATTGTTGGTGATGGGGAATAACCTGAGAAAATAAAAGGCGCTGATTAGAGAGTAAAATGCTTAAAATTTAGCTCATCAAGTAGCCTTGATGGTTAGTGAAGAGGACCAGGGTGTGAACTTGATCAGAAATGGCTCCTCGAGGGGAGATGATCATTTCTTTCAGCTTTTTATAACCTGTACCTCAGCTGAACAGATATTCAATGAATGTTTCTGGATGAATTCAGAAAAAAAGTTGACTATTGGAATGGAGGAAAGCTGATAAATGTAGGTCAATCTGAGCCAATTTTTAAATTAGCAACTACATTTGTCTTCATACATTTATGGGTGCACAGGACAAAGACCCACACAAGCTAGCTCAAGTCGGAGGAACTTATTTTAAGTTTCAGATCTCATTAAATGCAAAGTCTTTTGAGGACCACTGGTCCCTCATCCTGCTTCTCAGGGTGGCTCAGCTTTCCTCCCAAATAGGTGTCTTCTCCTCATTGTACACACAGACCAACATGGTCACCTCACTGTCTCTAAGTCATATTTCTGGCTGAGGACTATGATGGGCCTAGGATGGGTTCGGTGACCCCAAAGCCACAGTCAGGACAGGAGTGATGGCAGTAAGGTGCCATTATGGCTGTTTCAGCCCAACCTCTCAGCAGAATCTATAGACCAGGAGAGTGGCTTGTGGGGAGCAGGCTGCATGGGGCAGGCAACTCCAAATACATCATCTTTTTGTGAGGGAGGGGATCAAGTAGAAAATAGCAGGTCCTATTTTATTAAGCAAAAATATTATTGCATTTAGAAGAACAACATATTTTAGCTTCTATAATTTTATCTTTTGTCTTAATAAAAGTTCAGTAGAAGACAATCCGATTATCAACTAGTTAATATTGATTATTTTGCTAGTTACCATCACTCTTAGCAAACATTGGCTGATCAATATCTTTATAAACTTATTTCTATTTTCTATGATGAGGCCACTTATTTTTACCCTGACCTAGTCAGTTAATTTGTACAAGAACATAGCAGGATACATTATTTTTTAGGCCAAATATTAAACACACACACACACAACCCCTTTTCATAGTTCTCTACTAGAGACGCACTGTAAGGATAGCTTGGGCAGTAGCTTCACATGACATCAACAATCTTCCAAGAAGAGTGGATAGTGTTCTTATTGCCATTTTAGATGGGCATTAGGTATTCCTACTAGCTCCAAGAACATCTCCTGTCACGTATGTTTGCCTGTGTATTGATCTGTATGCCCTGCTAGAAAGTAAACCTTTAGAGGGCAGGGATCTTATCTCATTTGCATTTGTATATGCCTGAACAGCAGAATGATGGGCTCATTCAGAACTTAAAAGATGTTCTATAAATATTTGCTGAATACCAGAATGAAGGGGGTGTGAGTACAAGTGTGTGTGTAAGTTGCTAACCAGGTTTAAGCAAGCCTGGTAGCTTTTCAAACTATTCCAGGGACCATGTGGACACTTCTGTTACAAAGTGCTGAGAACTATGTTACACCTTAAGAGCATTAGCGTGCTCGTGTGCGTGCGTGCGTGCGTGTGTGTGTGTGCGTGTGTGTGTGTGTGTGTGTGTGTGGTGTGGCAGTTACTGTAAAGAATAAAGAGATCCATTGTAATTACTGTCTGGCGTAAAACAGCTGTTGCCTGAGCTATTCAGTGCCCAAGGCAGTTACTCATTCCCATGGCCTGCATGGTTGCCTCCAAAATGATCCTGTCACAGCAACTGTTTTCTGGCATCCCCTCTGAACACTGGGGGGCCCGCAGCCAAGGGTCTATTAATGCCTGAAGTGTGCAACGTGTGACATTGGTCATCCCCTCTCTGAGCTGGCACTGCTCTGAAGCAGCCTCAGAAACGGAAGGAGCCCGCTATTAAATCCATCTGGTTTTGATCCCGGTGCACTTAATGAATCAAAACATTATTTTAGGCAAATTTTATTTAACTATTCCAGAAGTTCAGTGAGTACTCTGACTATAGTTAGGATGGATCCAAAAAATGCTTCATGTAGTCACTGTAGAGACATTCATGAAGACATATAATGTGTGACCGTTACAAGTTTAATGGGTACTTGTAAGTACTTCCCATGTGATTGAATTGATGGTAGTTTCTACTTGAGTTCTCAGCTTCCAGCTGCACTAAGCCACTAAGTGTGGCCTTTAAGTAGAATTCAAAAATAGATGGGATACCTGGTATAGCTCTGTAGCTAAATGACCTTTACGTTTTCATTCCTCAGTGAAATGTTGGAAATCTCTATATATCTCTATTCTTCTATTGGAAGTCAATTAATGGAGAAGAGGACAGAGCAGCAGCAAAATTTATATATATCTCACATATTGAGCATGTACTACATATTAGACACTATGTAAAGCCATGCATTTTCCGAAGTCTTGAAAGATGGGCTATAATAGTTGCATTTTACAGATAAGAAAATAGCAGACTTTGAGAGAGACACGCTCAAGCTGGTGTCATGGAGAGGAATGGCAGAACCTGGATTGGAGATCTCTCTCTGATGCCAAAGCCTGCACTCTCTCCCCTCATCTCCATCTACATCCTTTTCCTCAGTGGTGTTTGGAGTAATTCGCTGTGCTTGGGGGAATGAGGGTTTTCCAAGTGCTCTGAGAGTGTGGAAGGGCCACTAAGTCTTTTTCTAAAGCATTGTATGCCTCGAGCAAGTCACTTTTCTTTTCCATATTTCACTTTGCCTCGTAAAACTGATCCGATCTATCCTGCTCTGGAAGGCTACTCTGTTTTCATGAAGAGCTATGATGCTTCAGGGAAAAAAAAGGTGCCATTGAAAGTGCCCAACCTCATTCTTAGATAATAACGAGAAAAACGCCCATGTCATTTATATCCTGTAGCAAATGGATGCTTTCCTGGTTCTCCCAAAGATGCCGCTAAGTGCTGGTGTCGTTTTCAGCAGGTCCTCATCGCCACATCCTGTGGATGCAGACAAGGACTGCCAGGGAGGGGGCCAGGTAACTGGGCACTGACAGCTCATGGGGCTCAGCAGTGAAGTATTCTATTACTGCTGC